GGGGCTTGCCCTTATAGGAAGCTTTTCCCGAACCCAGCATAATATAAACCCTATTTAATTCCTTATATTAAATAGGGGAACTTGTCGGCCAATACATTGGTTTCGCAGACCAAACGGATGTCATAACTTTCTTTAGTTTATTTGATCGAGCCTCACTCTCAATTCTTGCGTTCATCCTTCGGGATAGATACATGATTTGAGATAAAGTGCTCTTTCATCTAAACTATGAAAATTATGGGGTCAGTTTGACTTCATCTTTTTCAAAACTAAATTTTTTAAAACGTCCTTCCGAAGCGGGCAACGAGATTTCAATTCCGATGACCGACAGCTTCTTACGGGCAAAACTCACACCAAAAATAGTGCCGACGCATGGCCTCAACCTTCACAAACATTTTTTTCTTCAAATTTTCTCTTTTTTGCTCCATGATCCTTTCACATTGTTCCACTTGTAATACTTGTTATACATGCAAGAAAAACATACAAATACATTTCTTTAAAGTACAATTTTATTCAAAAAAATGTGCAAAATATAAAGAAATTCATGCAATATTTTCACACATCAAAGGCTGGGGCCGCCTTTAGTGGAGTGTTCGGTTTGAAGTTGTCATTGTTTTGGATGATCTGAACTATTTTGGCCATCGACATGTTGAATGGTGTCAAACCTTGCGTTTCCCTGTAAACGTGCAGTCGCTCATAATATTGAGCAGAAAATTGATCAGAGTTTTGGTTTCAATCGTTTCTTCGTTAATCTCAGGATCGGGGGTTGTTGTTTTGGTGACAAGTGGAGGACTCATTGTCCTTCGCCCTTTGCCACTAGCCTTGTTCTTTTTGCTTCTTTGACGAGTGGTCGGATGATTCTAGCTTACCCTTCGAGAAGCTTTGGAGGTCATTCTCGGTGAGTATGTGCCCATTCGCTATCTCCGATTCTTCTGCAAAAGTAGTTGCTTTAAACAGATTTAGGTCATACATGAACTATTTGCTTCAGACTCCTCGCTTCAAAGCTATTTCGGCTATTCCAAACATCAGATTTTTAACTTCCAGTTTCTCATTTTGGAAGCGAGTGATACAGGCCCTTAGGCTCTCTCTCTATCCCTATTTGATGTCAAGCAATGTGTCAAAGTCTTTCCTTGGTTTCTACACTTTTGAGAAGTGTGAAATGAAAAGTTTTTTAAATTTATAGTAATTTGGAATGGTTTCAGTTGGCATACCGTTAAACCATTGAAGGGTTGATTCCTTAAATTTCAGCTTCTCGTTTGGGGCATCAAGACATGTCTACACTCACTGCACCACCTTTAAGGAAATTGAATCTCAGATTGTCTTTTGTGAATACGCTTCTAGAGTTAGAGCTGAGTAAAGAAGAGAAAAGAGACTAGAGTTGGTCAAGAATTTACTGTTGAGAGAACCTGGGGAGGGAATTCCCTTATTCATATTTTTTTCTTCAATTTAAAGAAGCGTGCTTTGTACAATGGAAATCGTTCTTAATATGATTAATGATCTAATTAATGATATGGATTTTATACTATATATGTTTTACAATTTGAATTTTAGCATGGTGGTAATCGTCGGGTTGACTTTTCTGAGTTCAGCCGATTGAGGCGGTTGGTTGAGTCGGAAGAGCTCGTCGTTCAGTCGAGGCGCTCGATAATTTAAGGATCTCGCTGCCCTCGATAGATAGGCTACTTATGATAAGGTTAGCAGTGGCTCACTTGCCACATAACTCGAGTCTTACAATGCATGTGTCGCACATGTCTTGTAGGTTTGTCGTGTTGGCTAGATCTCCTTATCTTGCAAGGTCTTGGGCGGATCTTGTCGCTGCTTATGCGAGGTATCCAACAATATGCCCTATCAGGATGATTTAAACTTCATACTAGGCGGTTGTTGCCGCTACGAATTGGGGAACCATCTCTAGAGCTTGGACCTATCCCGGACTCAGAGACATTGAGCCGTCAATTGATTGTTTACCTTAAAGGGAATCTCTTTTATCTCGATAGTTCGTTCTCTTTAAGATTCGTGTCAGTATTTCTGATATATACAATCACCTAAATATTAATTTTCATATTTATATCACTCTACTTGTATATAAAAAAATTGTGGTTTACTTGTTTATAATTAATAATAGTAATATTTTTTGTGGTACGGCAGATAAGCTTTATAAATCTAAAAGTCAAATAAGGTTTTAGACATGTAAATATATAAGAATAATGTGATTATATATATATATATATTTATTTATGGGCTCAAAAAAATGCTTGAATTCAAAACTTTATTTCCTCGAGCATAAACACGAAATGGGCCTCGAAAAAGGCCGAAGTGTGTCTGTTGTTTGTTTTGCTCAAACCATTAAATCTGCAACCATTAGTCCAGATCTGGCTATATGAATTAGCGAAAAGCCCAGAGATTTTTTATACAAAATAAATATTCATAAAAATAAAAAAATATTATTATGAGAGAAACTTATTTTCATGCAAACTTGCTACATAGTATCAAACTTTGGGTACACATTTTACAAGGATAAATAAAAGTCAAGATTTGTTACGTGTCCATAATCAATATTTTTAATAATTATAGTGAAAAAATAGTGAACAATTATTTTCACGGGACCATTTTAATATCAAAATTTATAGAATTGTTAAAATATTTTGCAGACTCTCTAAATTTGTTCTGAAATAGTTCCCAAGGAAGACTATTAAAGCTTAATTTTAAAATAATCAGAGACTAATTTAACACTTCTATAAACTCTCGAACTCGAATGAGCAAATGTAAATAGTCGGAGACTATTTTCGCACTTAATTCTAATTTTAATTATCTGACAACTTAAGTTTAACGTACTCATACATGATCCTAATTTTTTATGCATTTACATATCTAACCCCTAAACTTCAATTTTTACATATACTTCATATTACCTAAGCATGAAAGGGTGTATTTCACTTTTCTAAAGTGAAAATAATAGTATTTTTTTATGTGATGTGGAAGATATGAGTGGTATAAATGTAAAAAAACAAATATAATTGCAATTTACAAAAAAAAAAAAAAAATCTTTCAGACAGCATGAAACAGAACACAAAAGAAAAAAAACTCCTAGAGATCAAATCCGTTGGGTTTCTTCAGCTCACTCACATTTCACCTTATTGTTTTCATAATTTATAAATTTAATGAAAGAAATATGGATTGAAGACTTCAAGTTATAGTGGCAGAGCTGATTTCTCACCTTCTATCTCCATCTCTATGGCTGCTTCCCACTTTTTCCCTCAACCTGTTCCAAATTCCCATTTTATTTGCCAAACTCCATTAAAACTCTAATCCAAACAAGCTATCATCTAGAATCAATACTAACAAGCTTTTCTGTTGTAACTTCAGTAACTTTAAGATCACCATCACTGGTTCCGCACCAGTTCAGCAATGCCGTCCATATACTAGCATCAGACTCAAACGACATCATCCTTACTAACTCCAGTGCACTCTCCACCTTTCCTTCGCTGCCTAACAAGTCCACCATGCAAGCATAATGTGCAAGACAAGGAATGACGCCAAATTTCTCCTCCATTGAACTAAACCACTTCCACCACTCATTGAGAAGACCACTGTGGCTGCATGCTGACAGAAGAGAGATGAGCACGATCTCGTTCGACTTCCATCCATGATCTATCATTCTGGAAAAGCAAAGATTCGCCTTTTCTCCATGCCCATTGATGCCATAACCATTTATCATGGAACTCCAACAAAAGAGGTCTTTTTCCTGAAGACTGCTGAACAAGATCTCAGCTTTTTCTGTTCTTCCAAGTTGACAGTAGAAATTAATCAAGGATGAAATCACAACTACATTACAAATATATCCCAATTTGATCAAATGGCCATGCGTGCATCTCCTATTTGCAATGCTCCCAGCAAAGAGCAAGCTTGGAGCAAACTAACCAATGTAATTTCATTAACTATAACATTTTGAATTACCATTTCTTGGAATAGTTTCAGAGCTCGAATTGGTTACTTGGTTTGGGAATAGACAGAGATCATTGCGCTCCACTGTTGTGGTAACTTTGAAATTTAAAACGATCGACGAAGTGAAAAAATAAAAATGACACAAAAATTACACCAGAAAGAACACACAGATTTACGTGGTTCGGCAAATTGCTTACATCCACGGAGTTGCAGAGGATTTTACTAATTGAGGAAGTTTACACCAGTTTGATCACAACGACAATTAAGGATCTCCACTTGCTCTTTCTCTTTACACCAAGATTCACCCAAGAGTAAGAACACCAAAGAAGAAGAAAAATATACAAGAGAAAACCTGTTTCTCTTCTGCCACAAGTCACCAAGAAGAACACCTTCTTCTTCCCTATCTTCTTCTTCCTTCTCCTGCTTCCGTAAATCTCAAGAGAAATCTACCCTTTTTTTTTTTTTTGTCCGTAACTTCTCACTCCAACTAAAAGGAAAGCCGTGCGAGCCAACAGGAAGCGGGAACGGTTTCGCAATCTAGCGGGAGCGGGAGGAGTCGCGACCTTTCGCGACAAAGGAGTAACGGGCAAAGCAACGCGAAGCTTCGCGCGTGCGGGAGACGGGAGGCGGAGGCGGAGACCGGATCGCGATCGGGAGCCAAACGGGAGCAGAAAGTGTCGATTCGCGAATAAGGGGAGGCGGGGGTGTCGTAATCGGGCTCCAGCCCTAACAATCTCCCACTTGGAGACCGATACACAGGCCGTATCATCTCCTTCCTCAAACTGATCCCCTCCATCACTCCATGAATCCTCCACCTCTGCAACTCAAAGCCCATGTCTTCAAGCTAGAAAACCAACTGAAGCTGCGCACAACTTCAGTTTCTCCAGTGTAACGCCCTTTGTCAACATATCAGCAGGGTTCTGACTTCCACAAATTTTCTCAAGCATCAACTGTCTGTCATCCAACAGTGATCTTATGAAGTGATACCTGATCTGAATGTGCTTTGTCCTGGACTGAAATGCTGGATTTCTGGCAAGGAATATAGCGCTCTGACTGTCA